ATCGGAAGAGCACACGTCTGAACTCCAGTCACGTTTCGGAATCTCGTATGCCGTCTTCTGCTTGAAAAAAACCCCCCCCCCCCCCCCCCCCCCCCCCCCCCCCCCCCCCCCACCCCCCCCCCCCACCCCCCCCCCCCCCCCCCCCCCCCCCCCTCCGCCCCCCCCTCCCCCCCCCCCCCCCCCCTCCTCTCCCCCCCCCCCCCCCCCCCCCCCCCCCCCCCCTGCTGCCTGAATAATGCCATCGAAAAACCAGTCGGAAATTTCAGGTTCTCCAACATCTTCGCCTTTGGCAAATATTACCAGGTGGTTCAAGGTGCAAATTTTACGTGCGGACCCGACGATAAGACCCTCGTCATCCAAGGTTTCCGCATCCCCCTCTAGCTCTTCTTCCATGTCATCCAAATCAAAGAAACTTCCAAGGCGCGCAAGGTCACTGTCCGGTTCGAAATTATTTAACAACACAAAATCCTCAGATAAGAAAAATCGACACGGCGATTCCTTCTTGGACGAGGAAAGTTGGGTTGATGAGGAGCTCATCGAAGACGACGATCTGGCCATCTTCGGAAAGGATGAGATTTATAGGTTGTCCATCGCGCAAGCTAAGCCAGGCAACATTACCCACTCAACCACCCCGCTCGTCGTTTCCGCCGAGCAAGCGTCTTGCACGAAAAAAGATTGCTTGAAAGATACTCACATCGTGCGCGGGTCGGTCGAACACTTTGTCTACGTAAGAACTCTTCGAAAGATACGCGCCGGGAGAGAACAAAAATACTTACTTCAAATGGTCATGTTGAATGGCCTGATGACAAAACTCTCGAAAACCTACGAATTCCCGGAATCTCAACGCGCAGAGATGCGACACTACAAGGCCACTATTTGTGAGATTGATCGAAGAAATTATCCTTCCTCGCGCTCGGGCGTGAACACTTCAACTACTGAAATATCGACAACTGCCGCCAACAAAAAGTTTGCTTTCATCGCAGGATATAACACGGGATCACGAGTTGTTGTAAAGTATCGACCTTCCTATTCGTCAACAAAGGTACTCACGGTCTTTGACGAGGAATTGAAAAGATTGGTGGTAAAAGAATTGCCGCTGGCACGCAGGAAGAGAAGAATTAGCAAATCGAGCATCTCGAGTGCCAGCAGTACCAGCACCCTCGTAAGAAGTTCGTCAAATTCGTCAATGTCTTCGTTGTCCACCTTAACAACTCTTGCTGAGCCCGTTGAGAGCGATCATAATAAATTCTTTGATCCTCTGAAAGTGATGTCGTCAAAGCTCCATAAATTGAGAATGTCAACAATGAACATGATAAGCATAAAGCAACATCAAAAATCAAACATTGTCTACGAAACGAATTACGACAACGATGACGGTGAAGACGATGATGTGTCCTTATTTGTTCTCAAAGAGCAATTCAGATATTCGGGAAGGAGTTGTGGCAACACATTTCAAAGGCATTCATCAGATACGACGGTTGGAGTATTGTCCGTTGAAAGGAATGATAGTCGATTGACATTGGCCGTGTGAAATCCTTCCGATCCCGAAGAATTGGGGATGGCTTCTTGTGTGAATGCGGAGACGTGCGTTAACCTCTGAAGCACCTAAACTCGCTTCACTGGAAACTCCGCGCCTCCCGCTGCGCAAGAATGGTCACGGCCCAAGTCCAACAACCAAAAAATATCACCAACGCTGAACGAATTTCCATTGTATTTTTATCGCTTTGAATTTGGCCGTTGTAGGTTGTGAGGAAGGTCCGAAGTTTGATGTTTGAGCGGGAAAATAAGAGAAAAAACATTGCGTGTATAAATTTTTTTTTTTTTTTTTTTTGTTTGTCTTTATTTTCTTGCTCATGTATTTTCGATGTCTCCCGGAAGACCGGTCCGCATAAATTACTTGGTGATGAGGGAAGGCGATCAGTGTTTGGTGTCGGAAAATGGCCCATTCCTCGATTTCGCGTGATACTGACGTGTGAAGTTGACATTTTGAATTGAAATAAAGAACATTCGCGATTGATCATAAATTGTCGACATTAAAAAATATATACAGTATCTATATATATATATACACTATATATTAAAAAATTGTTTTCTTAACATGCACGAGACACATGTACTACTGGAGGTGAAAGCACCCACTTGGTAGAATGTCAAACATACGATGACGTTCGACCGTCATTTTTTCCACCATCTTATGAACTCATTCACGTATTTTTTACTGTCGCCAAATAAAAAAAACAAAATGTATACTAAAAAATCTGTACCTATTATTTGTTTAGGTTCCATTAGATAACATAGTTTCTCCAAAAAAAACTGTTTGTACACAATCATCTTTTTTCCTTTTTTCATACATACTATACACACATTACAACTTCTGTATATACATTTATAGGGCATACAGTATACGATCACAAGTGTGACATCGTATATAAAGCTTAATAGAAGGAAATTGCATTCACCAAAGATCTTTTCCTTCAATGGCGCTACCCGCATGTACTGTAATTATCGTCATCTTCAATGACAATGTACTACAAGATTGAATTACTAAACCTCAAGTTCCGTGATTAGTATGCTGTATTTTTTTTTTTTTTTTGACTCTCCGGATGAATATGGCACGTTGAAACCAGCATGCTTTTTTGTCGTGGTGAAACGGAATACGCAATAATTGAAGCAGGAGGATGATTGGTGTTTAAAACCGAGAACAATCATGTTCATTACACAGCGCGCGAAACCAGTTTCAAATGAAATTCGCATTCGTTGTTTTTTCTTGCAAAAAAAAAATCACGCATGCGTGTGGCAAATAACTAGTACATAAGTACACACAAAAGAATCTTTTTTTTCCTCTCATCGACGATGCGGAATGATGTAAATGTTACTTCCCGACGATCCGAAAATCCGTGGAGATGCCTTATACCTGACGTTTCGGAAAAAGACATATATAACGATTATGCGCTAAACATTGCATCATTATATGCGTGGCGCATTACCGATGAGTATGCTGCGCTCAATTCTTCGAGGCCCCTGCTCTAAAATGGAAAGCCCTTTTCCTTAAAAGTAAGAAAAAAAATTTTTTTTTTTTTTCGATAATTTCGTGCGTTTTCATGTATTCTTGGGAAAAATTGTCTGGATAGTGGCGCCATTCAGTCCCACTTGTGGGAGCGTCAACTTTTTCTGCGATTTGTATTACACCTTGAATGCTCATTATTACTCTTTAAGAGTTATTAAAAGAATTCCAATTTTGGCATCGACTAAACTGTACATACAATTAAATAAAGTTGGATTTCTTGTCCCAACACTTCATACTCCTTAAATGTCTCACGGTTTTTTCACGAGCTAAAGGGTCTCCTATCCAAGAGTGAACTTTTGATTTATGCATGGCGTAAGCTATCAGGAAAAATAATGGACAATATTAAAAGCATCAGGCATTCAGAAATAAAAAATTTTTTTTTCTGTCATTACTATTTTGAGATATCGGATTTATTTTTAATTTCCTCGTTTGTTCCTGTTTTTCTATAACAAGGCAAGGGCATTTCAACTGGATCAGAAAAAACAGGGTTCAAAATTTCCGGTATTGCTAAAAACGTCGACAAATTAAAAACAAGAATTCCTTTTAATAATAGCTGCTCAATTATTTTTCGGGGTTGAACTTATAGTAAAAAAATAAAAATAAAATTCCATATACTCTATACCTCAATAATATGCTGTATTACAATTTAATTGATTTTTTTATTGTTGTTGTTTTCTTTTTCTTTTGAAACTATATTTAAAGTTATATAATAAAGAAAAATTTTTTTCTCATCGCTCTGAAAAAATACTGTGGTTATATAGTTATATACGCACAATAATTCAGTGATCAATGGAATAAAACATTTTTGATTTTATATTTTTTGTTGATAAAAAATCAAAAATTTGATTAATAACCGGATTTGAACTTGCATACATTCCTTTTAATAGAATACGATTACTTTGAAATTTTAAATATACATGTATCTTTGAAAATATTTTGTTATTTTATCAATATAAAAAAGAACATTTTCCACTGATCCCAGTTTCCTTAAATATTTTCTTTTTTGATAATTTTTTTAGAAACCAAGTAATTAGTTTCAATTAAAAGAGAATAATACACATAATCAAAAAATAACAACTTGCTACTAAGCTTTAATAACTAGATAAGTATAAGGAAAAACTAACTAATATATTATGGTTTTTTTTTATGGAGGAAAGAAATTCTCAAGGAAACTGATTTACAATAAGCTTTTAAAAACTCAACTTTAACTTCACAGAGCTTTTTTGACATTAAGAAAAATATTGCAAACAACAATTTTAATCAATAAATTAGTTCAAATTCAAAGTTTACAATACTTACAGGGATATTCAAACCTTAATTACTTAATAATAAGAAATTTACAATAATATAATAATAGCTTACATTCAAGATCATATAATATAAATATATTATAAATCATATAAATAACTCACTTGACATATTTTTATATATTAATATCAGTCAATAATATAATAGATCTATTAATTAGTAATAATAACTTACAATCAATGGATAAATAAATAACTTATATAAATAAATAAATAAATAAAATTTTTTTAAAACAGAAGTTCAACCATGTTTATTAACTTTAATAAAATAATAGACAAATTAATATAGAGATTACAAAGATTATTATATGAAACTATATATTATTTATATCATTAAACTTCTTAAAATCTAATTTTTAACAAATTTACTGAGTGACTTGTTATCCGAAGATATTCAGTTAGATTAAAATTCTACTACTACTATTATCTAAAAAAAATTAGATACTTCTTATCTGAATTTTCAATCCTTTTGAATTCCTTCCAACCAACTTTCAAAGGTTAACTTGCTAGTTCTTTAAAAGAAAAAGTATATCTTTCTTATAATTCTAGTAATTATAACCTGTTACTAATATCAAGTGTATTTAAAGAAAGAGTATAAGTTCAATAGTATTATATGTTATGCAAGGATAAAAAAAAACTATTTAGATTAGAATAAAAAAACTTTAAAATGATTCTAAAATAAAAAAATAGTTATATCTTTCATAAATAAAGTTAGTTCTTGAAGTTCCATTCCAGTAAAAAAGATATTTATTTCATATCCATAACACTTTCAAAGAGTAATAAAAGAAAAAAGATTATTTATATGGTAGTCATATAATTATAATAGACCTAAGATTTTTATGAAGTTTAGGAAATATATTTACATTATGTACACATATATTCTTGTTTACATTTCTACTAATTATGAAGTAATCAATTCCAATTTTTAACTAATCAATCTGTTCAGAATCTGATATAATAAAAAATTTAAATCAAGCTAGTATAGACAAAATTCCTTAGAAAAATCAAGAAAGAATTGTTATATACTAAGAAAGAAGTTGTTTCTGCCTGTGATAGTAATATCAATTTTCTAGATTAGTATAAAATTATTGACCTACACTTATTTCTAGACTTTGGAACTTCCATAGAAAAAAAAAAAGATATTTTTTCATCTGATTTCTTTTTTCTAAAAAAGCTTTTTTGTTATTAACTTCTTATATAGAGGGTTTTTAAAGAGAAAAAATAAACAAAAAAGGTATAATATAATTGCTGCTAAACAAAGCAAATGTTTTTAAAAAAAAGTTTTGAAGTTTTTTATTCTCAAAAAATAATGTTTTGAAAAAATATTTCTTTGGAAGTAGTGATCTAAGATCTATAAAAAAGAGTTTCACATCAAATAAATAAACAAATAAAGATTTTTATTTAATTAAAATAAATTACAACAATAAATTAATAAAAAAATATAACACTATTAAATAAATTTAATATAATTTTGTAATATATAATCAATTATATCAATAAGAAAATACAAACTATTACAAGTTACTAAATATATATATATATTATAAAGAAATTGATTTAATTATTAAATAAATATAATTAACAAAAAAGTCTTATATAACATAAACTTTTTTTAATATTATTTTATTTAAAAAGTTATTGTAAACTCTAGTTTAGAATTAATAAGATACTTAATTATAGATAGTATTATTATCAAAATTTTGATTTTGATTTTTTTTTTTTTTTGCTAGTATAGCTAAAGATGAGTCTCTAAAGAGAGAAGTAAAGATAAAAGTCAAATGTCCCTCACTAGGAAAAATTAAAATTTTTAAATTAATAACTATTTAAAAATTACCTATAGTTGTTCTCTATTATTCAAATCATTAATTTATAGTATTTCCTGATATTTGTTCTTATTAAAGTGAAGAGCTATGAATTTTGTCTCTCAAAAAGAAACATAAGTAATTTGCAAAATTTTATATGCTAAATATTTTAAGAATCCATCATTAAGCATAGCCATATTTTATTGAATATAGTAGATATTGTATATACGATATAAATAAACTACTTCTATTTTTCAAGTAAAACTTTGACAAGGACAAATCTATTTCATGGCAATGCCACCCTTTTTTGGGACAAAGAAGTTAGTAAAAGGATCTACTAGTGCAAGAAAAATTA